CCTCCTATCACTTCTTCCTTAGAGAAGAGTAAATGAGAGGAGCTGTGAGAAGTGGCAATGTTATTTCATCAATATTCCCTTCTGGGAGTAGAGCGGAAACTTTCTCATGAAAAAATGCTGCCAGGGGAATAGTATTCCCACTCCCACTGTTAAAGATCTACCTTTCTTCACTTCTAGAAAAAAAAAAAAGGTAAAATCAGACAAACAAATGATTAGATAGTACTGAACCTTATATATACTACATTTTTTCCTATATGCAAGAAAATATATACCTGTGATAAAACTTAATTTATTAGGCACAGTAAGAGGTTAACAACAGCCAATTATAAAATGAACAATTATAACAATATATGTAATAAAAGTTATGTGAATGTGATCTTTCTCAAAATATCTATTTGTACTGTACTCACCCTTCTGGTAGATAACGTGAAGGTACTCCAGTCATCTGATAACTGAACTACTGAGTGACTAATGGCAGGGGGGAAGGAGGGGCGAGGAGCTAATCCAGCAGGGAGACGCTGGACAAAGGCAAGATTTACCTCTCAGGTAGCCTGGCGGGGTTACTCAGAACGGCACACAATTTAAAGCTTATGAATTGTCTATTTCTTGAATTTTCCATTTGATATCTTTGGACCATGGTTGACCAAGGGCAACTAAAACCATGGAAAGGGAAACTGATCGCCGAAACCAGTTTGGCTCAGTGGATAGAGCGTCGTCCTGCGGACTGAAGGGTCCCAGGTTCGATTCCAGTCAAGGGCATGTACCTGGGTTGCGGGCACATCCCCAGTGGGAGATGTGCAGGAGGCAGTTGATCTATGTTTCTATCTCTCTATCTCTCTCCCTTCCTCTCTGTAAAAAATCAATAAAATTTATTTAAAAAAAATAAAAAAAATAAAAAAAGAAAGGGAAACTGATCAAGGGTGAGGGGGTGTGGTAGACAGACATGAGCAGAGCAAGGATGATGGTACAGAAGGTCTCCAGGGTGGAAAGCCTCAGGTGCTTAGCAAAGGACAATTGTAGGGTGGGCATTGCCCCCAGAGTGGCCTTCATCCCTAGCATATCGATGGTCATGCAGTTTGGATCCCCTGACCTTTCCTCCCTTGAGAGAACATTTAGACCTCAGTTGTATTTCAGCTCCAGGCCGAGAAAAGCAATAAACCAGACCAGCAACCCCATGGCTGACCTCAGGACCAGCTGCATTGAATAATGACCCCCTGCCTGATGCAGCCACCGACCAATCAGTGGAGACCTAGACCCTGAAAGGACAGGGTCCTTAATATTCTATTAAGAGCTTCCCCTGTGACCTCCCCTAAAATCTCCAACCTTAAAACACTTAGGGTGGAGGACCCAGAGGGCTCTCCCTCCAGGGAGCATGCTGGTGCCTTTCCCTTTTCAGTTTCCCTTTCCCCTTTTCCACCCTCTAGGCGCCTTACCATTATTTTCCTCACTCCCAAGCTCCGAGGGCCCTTCCTTTGCTTCCACAACTTGTTTCCTCAGCCCATCTCTTGTATGAATTGCTTCTTCTACCTCTATGATTTTACAAATAAATGTTTTCTTTTTTTAAAAAAATATATTTTATTGATTTTTTACAGAGAGGAAGGGAGAGGGATAGAGAGTTAGAAACATTCATGAGAGAGAAACATCCATCAGCTGCCTCCTGCACACCCCCGACTGGGGATGTGCCCGAAACCAAGGTACATGCCCTTGACCGGAATCGAACCTGGGACCTTTCAGTCCACAGGCCGACACTCTAGCCACTGAGCCAAACTAGTCAGGGCAATAAATGTTTTCTTATAGTTTGGGTCTTGGCTCTGAATTCTTTCTGAGCCAGAACTCAAGTATGGAGGTTGCTGAACCCAGGTCTGGTCATACCCTACCGGTCTAACACCCAGTGTCATTCCTGCCACCTACAACAGGGGGCTACTGTACAGTGGTCAGTCCTTCAGTAAGTACTTTTTAAAGTTCACCAATCTTTGAGATACAATATGAAGTATCTCAGTATCACTCATGAAAATTCAGAAGCTCAAACTGAATTCTCCATATCGCCCCCTCCCAGGTAACCCAAAGATCAGCTGTAGGCAAAAACAACACAAAACAAAAAACTATTAGGTTTCCATACTTTAGAAGTCAACAAATTTTTTCAATAAAGGGTCAGAGAGTAAATATTTTAGGCAATAACGCAACTCTGCCATCATAGTGTGAAAAGAACCACAGACAACACATGACTGTTCCAACCAAACTTGGTTATGGACACTGAAATGTTTCTTTTAACATATATGTTTATTGATTTCAGAGAGGGAGGGAGAGGAAGAGAGAGATAGAAACATCAATGATGAGAGAGAATCATTGATCATCTGCCTCCCGCATGCCCCACACTGGGGATCTAGCCTGCAACCCAGGCATGTGCTCTGATGGGGAATCGAACTGCAACCTTCTGGCTCATAGGTCGATGCTCAACCACTGAGCCATGCCAGCTTGGAAAATGTAAGTTTCATATAATTTTTATGTGTCCTGAAATATTGTTTGGTGCACAGGAAACACTAATAATTTTTTCAGCCATTAAAAAAAATGTAAAACCCATTCTTAGTTCATGAGCCATATAAAATCAGGTATTGGTCTTGGTTTTACAACCCCTGCTTTAGAAAACTTTTCTCTAGAAGTAACCACTACCTTGTTCTGAGTTTGTGGTTATCTTTATGTGGGGATTTAAAAGGAAAAAAAGCATAACTTAAAGATATCTCTTGGCTATTCTTGAATATATTATCTTTTTGGCCATGATGGAGCTGAAACAAGTGTGTAAGTTTAGAACTGCAAGAGTATACAGAAATTCTCTTCTAAAATGTTCTTATTTACTTGTCAGCCTTAAGTGATATGAATGTTTATAGTTTTATATTCTTATCTGTCTATTTTGAAGTTTGATAACTATTTCTTGTATTAGAGAAGCTGTTGTAGAAGTAAAGAACAGTGCTTAGAATTCCTTAGATATTAAAACATTTTTAAAATGCCATTTTCTCCTCCTGAGTTCTTATTTTAAATATTATTGCTATTGGGTCACTCTGGGTGTGCCTCTTGTCTGTCAGTCCGTCCACCTATCCATCCGTCTATCTATCCATCCATCCATCCATCCATCCATCCATCCATCCATCTATCCATTGTTGAGAAACTTCCCTTCCAGCATCCCAGAACCCATCAGGGCTGCCCCTCCTTCCTGCTCCACCCTGCAGTCCCTCATCCTTGGCTCAAGTCTCTGGGGCTCTTCCGTCTCCCGTGACCCTACCTCTTTGTCTGGTTCTTTGGCTTCTCCAGTCCCACCCATTCATCAACATCCATCTTGGGTCTCCTTCATCAAACCTTCCTGGTTGAGCTCTGGTTCATGGATTTTTCTCTCTTCTCTAAATTCCCACAGCACTTAGCCCAGAGTACACAATTTAGCACTTAATTATACATTGTCTTTTATTGTTTGTTTTTATTTGTTGTGTCAATTTTGTCTTTTCCGGTGAGGTTGCAGACTCCTTGAAACAACACATCTTTATTTTTTAAAAACCCCTTACAGTACTCTTGGAGGGGCACCACCAATACTCCCTGTTCTACCAGAAATAGTTGATTGATAGGCACAGATGTGAGACTTTCTACCCATCTCTGTAGTATCTGGTGCTTAAGAAATATCTGTCAAATTTATTACACTGAGTTGAGTAATGCAGATCAGCTTCAAATATAGTATCACACCATCTCTGCATCCATTTTCTCATCTGTAAAATCGAGATAAAAATGTTTTCCCAACCTACCTGAGAGTTACTGTGAGGCTTAAAGGAGGTAATGTAGCTTTGAACTACACGAATGTTAGGGGTTACCATACCGCATATTTCTTTTCATAGGAGTTGTAGGGGAAATTAGGGTTTGGCATTTATCACAAAGAGTGGGTCCCTTTTTAACCTTTGTTAGAATGGTGGGCTATTCTCAGGGGAGCCCAAGTACAGTTGGGATGGTAGGAAGAGCATAAACATGATCTCTTGGCTTGCAATTTTCCCGAGAAGGTATTACAGTTGTGGAAAATACAATGGTGGTGAGATTTTGAAATGGAAGTTCCCCAGCTAAGTTAGTCTTTGCTGCTCCCAACTTACCTATCCTTCTTGTACTCTTGTCCCAAGCCTACTGCCGTCTTAAGTCTCTCCTGGCAGGTCTGAAGCAAAATGTCATGTAAGGAAAACTTAGTGAAGAACTGCCTGCTTTTGGAGTGGATCCTCTCCTTTATTTCATTTCTTTAGATTCCAAAAGGGATGTATTACTTTGGGCAACCCTTATGAATTGACATAATTTTTATTATTTCTTCTTATCTATCTCCCCCGCCTTAACCATCTGCTGATGTTTTTTCTTTTCCTGTCCTTGGTCCTTATTTTAGTTGACCCAAATACCAAAGTCTATATCAGTGATGGTGAACCTTTTGAGCTCGGCGTGTCAGCATTTTGAAAAACCCTAACTTAACGCTGGTGCCATGTCACATATAGAAATTTTTTGATATTTGCAACCATAGGAAAACAAAGACTTATATTTTTGATATTTATTTTATATATTTAAATGCCATTTAACAAAGAAAAATCAACCAAAAAAAAATGAGTTCGCGTGTCACCTCTGACATGCGTGTCATAGGTTCTCCATCACTGGTCTATATCATCAGTGCTGTTTCTTGAGATGTTGTTTTTGTTGTAAAATCAAAGTACTACTTTATTAAATGAGTTATTTTACACATTATGAACATCAATATAATTACAACTGTAAAAAAAATTTTATAACAAGGATGGACTGATTTTCACATTTCCAAATTAGAGTCAACTGTACATTTACACAGAATTGTCTTTGCATGAAGCCCAAAAGGGAACAGCATAAAAATGAGTGTTTCTATAGCCCCTTTATTTTTGCTGATCAACAGTTTGTTAGAAAAGCAGCTGCAAGTTTGCTACCTAAGATCTGAGACAGTAGAAGAGTCAAAGTTGTCATGAATTCACCTGTAAATAACTTTATGCCTGGACAGCAGCCAATTCTGGAGGGAGGGGAGTCTTAGGATGCTTGCTCTCAAAGTGCTGCTTGAAGGTCTCAGGGTCTGGCATTTGTGTCCTACAGACAGTGCAGGTATAGATTAAGGCAGCTTTGGCAGCAGCCTTTTGGTCATGTCCTTGTTTCTTCTTTTGTCCGGAATGCTTTTTGTCATTTTTCTGCTGAGACTGAATCTTCTGCTGTCCACGAGCCATATCCGGGCAGGAACAGTCTTGTGTCCAAGGTGAGAGACCTCACAGCGCGAAGGGGCTGGTGGAGGTGTCCGGAGGCAGAGGAAAGGGGAGCGCGCCCAGCACGGTTTCGGTCTCCTCCACCCACCGAGGAGGGGAAAGAGGAGCCACCGCTGCGTGCGCCCGCCGCCGCCTCAGCCTTGGGAAGGCCACTCGAGATGTCTATTTTTTCTTTGGGTTAGTGTTTCCCAGAGAGGCTGAATGCATGTACATGTGCAGTTCTTTCCAGGGCCTTTTTTTTCCTTTTAAAACTCCTATTACTCTAATATTTAATATTAACTAACTAATGCTATTCCTTTTTAAGGCTCAACTCCAGCTTTGAGCCATCTCTCAGAAAGTGGCCTAACCTCGTCGCCACCCTGAACGCAATGGGGGGTCACTGGGACCTCAGTCGTATGAAGATCTCTATCCTTCAGCTTTTCAGGACCTAACCAGCACAGCGGTGAAAAAAGGGAAGCCTCATTTCCCTTGCGTGGTCTCCTTTCTGGGAGGGGCTAGGCATGCGTTGGGCGGGCACTTGTTCCAGCATCCCAGGGAGAAAAACGCCACAGCTTTCCCCGCCATTCTCCAGGTGGGTCCCTTTCCCAGCCGGGGCGGAGAGCAAAGACCCTCCTCCGGTGCGGGGTGCGCTCGACTGGCGCGGGCCCCAGTCCTCTCTGGCCCGGCAGCGGGGCGGAGCAGACGACCCCCTGCAGGGCGGGAGGTGCGCGGTGTTTTTCACCAGGTGAGGCGGGGGCGGGGCAGGGGCGGGGCCAGGGTGAGACCCCAGGCTCCGATTGGTCCGCGTCGCGCCTGTCTCCATGTGCCGCGCCGCTGAGGCACAACATTCAAGTCCGGGGGCGGGGCCGGCGGCGCCAGGAGGAAGAGGCCTCGTAGCAGCTGTGGGGCGTGGGGGCGGTGGCGGCGGCGGCCAAGGCCAAGGCTGAGGCAGCGAAGGCTGCGGTGAAGGCAGCGGCGCCCCGACCGGGGACGGTGCTCCGACGGGCCCTCTTCCAGGCCCGATGGAGGCGGCAGCGGGCGCGGGCTGCGGCTCCGGGCCGCCGCTGCTGCTGAGCGAGGGCGAGCAGCAGTGCTACTCAGAGCTCTTCGCGCGCTGCACCGGCGCTGCAAGCGGGGGCCCCGGGTCCGGGCCCCCTGAGGCCTCCCGGGCCGCCCCCAGCGCAGCCACCGCAGCCGCGGGGCCCGTGGCCGACCTGTTTCGGGCGTCGCAGCTTCCCGCTGAGACGCTGCACCAGGTAGGTCCTCGTGCCCCTGCGGGTCTGTGGGGATCATTTCTCTAGGGACAAGGGGTGGGGCGACAGGGTTGCTCACAGGGACCCGGAGGCCTCGGCCAGGTGGCAGGGAAGGGGCTTCACAGCCGGGGACGGAGACGGAGCCCGTGTTCCCGGGGTACACCAGCTTCCTCTGCAGCACAGCAGTGCTGGGTGCGCTCACCGTCCTCCTCCCCCGAGGCGGACTGGTACTCCCTCCCCTCCTCCAGCCATTTCTGGGGCTCTGCAGCCACCTAGACCCAAAGTTTGCCTTGTTCTGGAAGTGGTGTTTGTTTTGGCTGGTGTCTAGTTTAACCTCTGCTCCAGGTTCCTGCCCTTCCCTCTCCTGGGTGGGTGGGAAGGGGTGGGCGCTTGGGGTGCTTGCTGGGATTTGAACTTGAAGGATGTGTGATGTGTGTGTCTAGGGCCCGGGCCCAAGATTAAATGTTGCCCCTCTCTCTATGTATATATCTACCCTATATATTGCCTACTAACATAGTTCTGAAAATTAGTATTAAACTGGAAAGCCATATTGACAAGTTGCAGAGTGTGGACACAGGCTGCAAGAGAACATCTGGCAGGGCAGAGCAACCTTCCAATTTAGGGCTAGAGGTGGACCCAGAGGTCCAGTGTGGAGGACAGCTGTATTGCCCACATTATCATTGCTTGGACTTGGAAACAGAATTGGAAAGTAATGTGTGTCACAGCTACCTCTTTTTGGCTGCTCCAAACCTGGAAAACAAGGAGGGGATGATCCACAGCAGATGCTGTTTTTGTTTTGTGCTTTCCTTGAAGCTTGGAGAAAGACAACTTGATAAGCACATTGTCTTTTGATGTTACTGGCACTAAGTGGTGATGAGATTCTTAATATCAGGCCCAGAACGTGAAATGAAACTTTTGTTAAAAGCAATAGCCAATATGAAGTTAACATCAATGGAATATTTAGAGTGGGGAGTAGTACTTTAAAATCTAATTCCAAAGGCGCACTGAGGGTTTTATGGCTCACTTGCAATATCATTGTTTGTAGGTATTTTTTATACTGCTGGAGCATGATTATACCTGTATGTGAGCATAACTTTAGCCATTCTGTAATCTTTCACCTTTTAGAATTCAGGATTTCTGAAGATATAATTAGTATTCACGGAATTTAGCATGGCTGATTGTCCCTTAAAAAGTCCTTGAAAATGATGATGGAAAGAGACATGCCTTGGGGTGGTAAACACAATACAATATACGGATGATATATTGTAGAATTGTATGCCTGAAACCTGTATCATATTATTTACCAATGCCACCTCAATAAATTAAAAAAGTCCTTGATATGTAGACAGTTGTGCCACTGCTATTGAGCAGTTGAGTTGGACCAGGTAGAGAAAAAGTCAGTGCCTTCAAACACAAACCATGGTTATTACATCAGGCCCTCAGAATACTCCCAAGCATCATCAATTTATTAAACGCTGTCACTACTTCTCCACTGAAAGAGGAATAAGTGACAGACCACACAGCTGGGCACCTATTAAAGCTTATGTTGTTAGGTAATGCATGGAGTGTGAGAAGGTGTGTAGATTAAATCTGAGTATGTTGGGTGACTGCTCCTTAGGAGTTGGGGAGAGGGCTTTCCTGGTGTTAAAACCCATGCTCCCTTGAGGTATAGGTAATTTGAGAAGAACCCAACGCACAGTGCCTTTGCATGAATGAGATTCTATTCTTAATGTTCACTGGAAATCTGCTTGCAAAAAGACTGGCAAAGGGGGATCAGCAGATTGCTTGTAGTAAATCTTAGAGCTTTAAGCTACCCGTTTCAGCTCAGCAAAACAAAATGCTCCCTTCCCCATTAACCTAACACAATTGGAGTAATCCAGTATTTCTTTAAAACATATGTCTTTATTGATTTTCAGAGCGAGAGAGGGAGAGAGAGACAGAAACATCAATGATGAAAGACAATCATCTATCAGCTGCCTCCTGCATGCCCTGCACTGGGGATCGAACTGGAAACCCGCACATGTGTTCTGGCCAAGGGAATCGAATTGTGACCTCTTGGTTCATGGGTTGATGTTCAACCACTGAGCTGCCACACCAGCTGGGCTCCAATATTGTTTTTACAGGTGAAAATAAACAGGAAAGGCATCCTGGACAGGGAAATGTAATTAGAAGAGATTAAAACAAAGCGAGCAGCCAACAGCCACTAATTTTTACCAACCACTTTGGTGTTGTGTGGTGGTATGTGTCTGAGTATGTATGTGTGTGTGTGTGTGTGTGTGCACACACATTCTTCATTCACTTTGAGTTGCACTGAGCTACACTGTAGGTATATTAGCTTCTCTCTCTTTCTCTCTCTCTTCTTTCGTCTTTCAATATGTTTTTATTGATTTCAGAGAGAGGAAGGAAGAGGGAGAGAAGGATAGAAACATCAATGTCAAGAAAGAATCACTGATCAGCTGCCTCCTGCATGCCCCCTACTGGGGATGAAGCCCCAAACTGGGGATCGAACCCTGACCTCCTGGTTCATGGGTCAATGCTCAGCCACTGAGCAACACCGGCTGGGCAACATTAGCCATTAAAAAAAAATATTTATATGTAAGTTCAGGATTAAGTGGCCCAACAGGTATAACTGCTCAAATCATGAAGGCAGTAACCAGCTCAGGTAGTTTCTATAGTAACAGTCAGATGTTCTCCTTAATAAGCATACAATTAAGATTACCATAATGTTTCAGGAAGGGAAAAAATCTTATCTGGATTAAGTGTTCTATAAAAATACTTAATTTTTTCTTCTCCTTGGAATAAAAATAAACCACTACACCTGCTACTTTGTTATGGAAGTGAATTATCTTAGGAATTTTTTTCAGTTGAAATATATAGTATTTACTAAATATATATATTTTAATAGACTATTCAGAGCAGTTTGGGGTTCACAGCAAAACTGAAGGGAAGGTACAGAGTTCCCATATGCCCCTCACCCGCACACCTGCACAGCTATTCCCATGATCAGAATGCCCCATCAGAGTGGTCCATTTGTTACAATTGATGAACCTACATTAGCACATCATAATCACCCAGAGTTCATAGTTTACATTATGATTCACTCTTGGTGATGTGCAATCTGTGGGTTTGGGCAAATGTATAATGACATGTATCCATCATTATAATGTCATACAGAGTATTTTCACTGCCCTAAAATCTGGTATGCTCCATCTCTGTGCTTCATCTCTTCCTCTTACCCCCAACCCTTGGCAGGCAACTGATCTTGTAAAAAATATATATTTTTATTGATCTCAGAGAGGAAGGGAGAGGGAAAGAGAGACAGAAACATCAATGGTGAGGGAGAATCATTGATCAGCTGCCTCCTCTATGCCCTGCACTGGGGATCAAGCCCACAACTTGGGCATGTGCCCTGACTGGGAATCAAACCTCAACCTCCTGGTTCAGAGATCATCACTCAACCACTGATCCACACTGGTTGGGCATACAACTGATCTTTTTACTGTCTCCATAGTTCTGCCTTTTTCAGATTGTCATATAGTGGAATCACACAGTATGTAATCTTTTCAGATTGGTTTCTTTCATTTAGTGATATGCATTTAAGATTCTTCCATATCTTTTCATAGCTTGATGGCTTATTTCTTTTTAGTGATGAATAATATTTTATTGTCTGGATGTACCAGAGTTTATTTATCCATCCACCAGTTAGAGGACATCTAGGTGGCTTTTAAGTTTGACAATTATGGATAAAGTTGCTATAAACATCTGTGTG